TTTTTTTTTTTAAATAGAAAAGTAGAGAAGAAGAGACTAGCTAAGAAATAATCAGACATGGACATCATATATCATAATAAGTTCAAAACATATATATTCAACCTGAACATAAGAGGTCACATCACTAAAAATTAGAAGATGAGACCAGTTACTTTTCACAAGTACGGCATGAGAGAAAATTCTTAACAACAACAAAAAAGGACAGACGTAATCACAAAAGACAAAATGGGTGATTTTGATTATTGAAATCAAGTACCTTTTATATGAATGAAATCACGCAACTCCAATAAGAAAGAAAACCACTCCCTAGGGGAAAAAAATCTTTGCATCAAAAATTTCTGATAATGGAGCAGATATCCAAGCTTTAATAGTTTAAAGCTGCACTAAGACTTTTGGAACACCTTGTATATGGAATATATGAGATCAGGAGCCATTCCCCAATAAATAAATAGTCAAATGATATGAGCAGTTCTCAAAAGAATTACAAGAATTGTATGAAAGGTTACTTCACATCACTAAGAAGAAGAGAAATGCCAATCAAAGTAACCCTACCATTTCACCTCACAACCAGCAAACTGGCAAAGATGACAAAAGAGAGAAATTGTAAGAGTCAGAAGGACAACGCTGTTGGTGGAACTGTGAACAAATCCAACCACTTTAGAAAGCATTCTGAAACAAAATTAAGTGACTAAAATGTCTACACTCTGTGACCCAAAGATCCCACCCCTTGACATATTTTCCAGAGGTCATATCTATCCTCTAACATTCACAGATGCCTCCCCACCTTTTTTTTGGGCTGGCAAAGAACTAGAAATAAAGTAGATGCCCATTATTTCAGGAATGGCTAAACAAGTTATGCTACATGAATGTAATGGAATATTATTTTAATAAATGATGACTGAAGAATTCAGAAAAAACTGAAGATTAACATGAACAAATTCATAAGAAAGCAGAACCAAAAAGAAATAAATGATAATGTAAAAGGAAAAAAAAACAAAACAAAAAAGAAACTGAATATTATGTAATTTTAAGTACCAAACTTGGCCCTAGAGAATCAATCAATAAGCCATTATTAAATAACTACTATAGCACTGTGCAAGAGATACTAGAAGAAAATGAAATCATCCCTGACTTTAAGGAACTTACATTCTTGAGAACAGCATAGGGAGAGAGACATTTACTTTTACAGGTACAAAATAAATACAAGATAATGGAGGTGGGGGTGAGGGGAGACAATAATTGAGAAAACACACTACCCTCCTTTCTTGGCAGAGGCAGGGGACTCGGTGTGGAATATTGCACATACTGTAAGTCAGTCAATAAACATTTATTAAATGGCTACTATGTGCCGGGCGCTGTGCTAAGCACTGGGGATGAAAAAACAAAAGACAGTTCCTGCCCTTAGTAGATCACAATCGAATAGGGGAAATAACATGCAAACAAATATGTACAAACAAGCTATATACAAGCAAAATGAGAAATATCAGAGAAAATGCACTAGAATTAAGAGGGATTGTTGGTTTTGCAGAGCTGCCTTTTTTCTTTTTTAAAATAATTATTACAAACAATTATTTAACGAGTCCAAGGGAAATCCAGATTTAGAAATGAATATGAACTCAAAAAACATCAATAAAAAATAAGATAAATATGTTTAAGGAATAAAATGTGCTTATGGCTGTATGCCTCTGGTGGGTAATAACAAACTTATTACTAGGGCTCCAGACAAAAGGCCCAATTTTAATAACTGATTTTAGGAAATAAAGTATATGTTTTGCTCTTTTCAACCTAAGTTCCATTAGTATCAGAAAATTACTTTTCAAAAGTCTTTCTCAAGTGTAGTTCACAACTTTGTTTTTTAAAAAAAGGTTTCAATTCCACAAGGCAATTTCAGTATTTTCTTCCAAAACAAAGGTTAAAGGTTAAATTCCTAATACTAGGAATTTTTGATTTATACAGGATTTACTGTCCTCACAACTCCATGAGGGGGAGCAGTAGAAATATTATTATCTGGATTTTAAATATAAGGAACCTAAGACTTAAAATGATTAAGTGACTTTCCTATGGGCACCCAGATAGTAAGGAAGAGATACCTTAGAGATAAGCTACGACAAACACGGGCTCCCTTCCCCCATTCAAACCCACATCATCTTTGCCAAGTTCAGTGCTCTATTCATCATACTACGCTGCTTCTCTAATTAGGATCAGGTACAAAGACTAGAGGTTCTGTCCCCCTTTCTCATGTAGAATTTTCAAAGACAAAACTAAAAAAAAAACAAAAACCCAGAAGATTTAGAACTCTAGTTTTGTATAAGAGTCCTGGGTTCAAGTTTCATCTCAGCTCCTGGGTGACCCTGGGTAGGTCACTTAACTTCTGTCTCACCTTGGTTTCTTCATCTGTGGGGTTTAGGGGGGAGGTTTGTGGACCAGATGATCTTCATAGTGCTGTGTCTCTGATCCTTATGAGAAGAATGATACACTGCATCGTTGCCCGAACAATAAGCTATGTTCTTTCAGAATGGTTTTATTTTCAGCTAAGGAATGATACCTGGGTTGAAGGTGGAGAAAATTCCAGGATAAAAGTCAAACCAGGCTTTTTGTGAAGTCAGATCATGTGATCAAAGCTTTAGAACTATAAAAAGCCTTAAAGGTCAAAGAATTCAACCCTCTCCTATTTTACTTCAGACAAGAGAGGATTAAAAAACTGTCTCCGAGGTCACACAGACATTAAGGGGGACCTGGACTGACCAATCCACGTCCCTGGCTCCCAATCCAGCAATCTTTCACCAAGTCACACCTTCTTTTCATTGGCTTTTTGAAGGTAAAGCCTCTTTGCTCTCTTGACATCAGACACTGTGCTCAGGCACTCAGAATGCCTAGACAGAAGCAGCAATAAAGAGGCTTCTAAGAATGCTCCCTTCTCTCCCACCACTTACAAAAGCCCTAGCAGGGATCCTGAATAAATTCAATCACTCAAGCCCTGACTCTAAGTGAGCCCCGATGTATTAATGTGAAGATTCAGTTAAAGCTGTATTCACTAAAATCTTAACAGTTAATACAAATTTGTCTATAGATCAAACTTAGCTCTGTTGTTGAAATCACTTGGGGAGGCCGGGTTTGAAAGGAGCAGTCAATCACATTAGCAGCTACAATACTGGAAGTGACACTGGATCCTTGAAAGCTATGCCAGCAGATTCAGCAAGACCCAGAAAAGGCTAAAAAAGTATGGACATGGTTCCTTATCTGAGGACCAGCCTAGCTAAGTTTGAAAAGGCACAGCAGAAGCAGGTTGGGGCTAGGAGGTGCTGAATATTTTGGTAGGCCACAGCAACTCATATAGACTGAGATGAAGAGAGGTTTTAATTCAAATCAATGATAGGTATACCTGTATCAGGAATCCTTTAAGTATTGAAGTACTAGTAATTATCTTTAATACCAGAGTTTAAATCCTTTAAGTAATGAAGTACTAAAAGTTGTCTTTAATAAAGACAGTTTGAATATAATCCAAAAAAGCCAAGGGCATTTTAGAGCAATAAATATTCTCAGAAGCCTTTTTTTTAAAAGAGATTCATTATTATAATTTGCATCTTGTCTACAATAATAGCTGATCCTTATGTAGCACTTTAAAGTTTACAAAAAGTATTACACAGATTAATTAATTTGACCCTTACAAGCTTATAAGGAAGGCATTACCATCCCTACTTTGCAGATGAGGACACCAGCTACTAACTGAGAGAGGTGGGATTCACACCTAGGGCTCTCTGGACTTCAGGTTATCACTTTCTACACCACCAAGTCACCTCTCCAGATAATATGTTTACTGTAAATCTGATATGTAATAACTCACAGTGAATTTTGCTTCTGACACTTACTGGCTGTAGGAACGTGAGCAAGCCACTTAACTTCTGGGTGGGTTTCCTTATCTGTAAAATGGCAGTAACAATAGCACCCACCTTGCAGGGTGGTGAAGATCAAGCTTGTAAATCGCTTTGAAAACCCTAAATTACAAAGTCACTGATTCTTAAGACCATAGGTATAATAGAGCTAAAGTATCTCCAGACTAGATCACAAAAGATAGAAATAATCAGTGTTGGAAGGGCTCCTTGGGGAAGCCGTGATCTGATCCAACCATTCTGAAAAGCAATTTGAAAGCACGCTAAAAAATAAAATCAAAGTCACCATTCCCTTTGACCCAGATATATCACTGTTGGGCCAAGTTTGTCCTGGAACCGTGGAACGTGCCTAGTGATTCTCGCTGAAGCTTCCACTCTGTTAGCTCCACAGAACACCGAACCCCCTTCCCCACCACAAAGAACTTCAAAGGTCAAGAGGGAGAGGAGAGCTCGGCCCTCTACTAAAAACACCCCCCTTCCCCTGCAGGATTTCACAGCTGGCACTTGTGGCACATTCAGGACATAGCTGTGCAGGGCCGTCCCCGGACAGCTGTCACAGGCCGATCCTGCTGGTCCACAAGTGCCAACGTGCCTCCCCCCAACCCGGGGCGAGAGCCCTGCCCGTGACTGTGGAGCGAGCAAAGAAAGAGCCCACCTGTCAAAACCTGTACATCAGCTGCATGCGTGCGTGTGCACGTGTGTATGTGTGTGTGTGTGTGTGTGTGTGTGTGTGTAGGAAGAAAGAGAAGACAAAAGACACACCAACCTGGGAGGGGGGGAGAGGGAGGAGACAAAAGACACACTGCCTAAGCGCCCTCCCCAAGCAGGGAAAGCGGGAGAAGTGCACAAAGGTTAACGAAGGGGATGAGACAAAGCCAGGTTTCAGGAAGGCTAGCGGGCCGGGGTCTGCAGCTGGAGCAAGCCTGGGCGGGGCCGGCCGCCGTGCGCAGGGACCCGGAGCCTGGGATTCTACGCCCCAGGCCAGAATGAAGGGGCGGGGCAGGGACCCCCCGCAGCGAGGCAGCGCCTCGGCGCCCGTCCCCACGGCGGGAGCAGGGCCCCGGCCGACCTCGGGCTCCCCCCTCCCCGCCCTCCCCAGGCCGGGCTTACCTTGGCTCTGCCGGCCTCCAGCTTCTTCTGTCGCTCCTCGTCCTCCATGGCCTGCGCTGGGGAGGAAGGGAGGGAGGGAGGGAAAGAGGAAAGGGAAGGGCCTGATTGAGACGGACGTCACGGCGGCGGCCCAGGACTGGGCGCTGCGCTCCGCCACCGGCCTCGCGCCAACTCCCGTAGCCGGCTCACAGGAGGACCGTGCCCGGCGCAGCCGCCATCTTCGTCTCCACGTAAACAGACAGGCCGCGGGCGGAGCGGGGGGAGGGAGGGGGACGTCGGCGGCGCAGCCGCCGCTGACCCGGGCTCCTGCAGGTGCGCCGGGAGCCCCGCCCCGAGCCCCCCGCCGCGCTCCAGGCCCCGCCCCCGGCCCCCCGCCGCCCGCGGGCCTCGGAGGATGGAGACCTGCCGACCTGCCAGTTAAGTCAGGTCCTCCAGCCTAGATTGAGGGCGCACCACGTGGTGTCCGGCGCTGGGCTGAGCGCGGGGGGCATAAAATGGCCAGGTCAGCCCGGGGGCTCCAGTAGGAGATGGGCCAGCGAGAGATAGGCTAAATGAGGGATAATGAGGGGGACCTGTCACATTTCTCGGACGGGGAAACTGAGGCCAGAGAAGTGCATTGACCCGCAGAAGTTCTGCAGGGAAAGACGAGCAGAGTGAGGTAGGATTCGAACCCAGGAATGGTGTCCAATACTTTAAAGGGCACTCACACACTGGTTTGGGAGCAGGGTCCCCTTCTGGCCTTGATGCACACGTGCTGTGTGGCTTTATTCAGACGTGGGACCACGAATGGACTCGTGGAAACAGCCCTGGATTTGGAGTTGGAGACCTTTGAGAGCCAGTGTGGAGGACTGGACACAGTGCTGAACCTAGGGAAGGGAGCTCCAGGGTTCAAATCCGACCTCAGGCAAAATGGGCAAACCCCTGGCTTCCCTGTGCCTCAGGTTCCAAACCTGTAAAAGGTTGGCCTTTCTAGGCTTCTAAGGTACCTTCTGGCTCTTAAGCTACGATCCTGTAAATCCCTTTAACTTTCAGGACCTCAGTTTCCTCACTTGTAAAATGAAGGGGATTGGACTTTTTTGTGTCAGACTCCTTTGGCTGGCTGGTGAAGCCTATGGACCCCCTTCTCAGAATGTTGTTTTTAAATGCATAAAATAAAATACATAGGATTACAAAGAAATCCAATTGAATCGAAATACTTATTATATTGAATTACTGATTACATGCTGAAATAGTTAATTTAAAAAGCAATCAAGTTCACGGACCCCAGATTAAGAACCCCTGTAAGAAATGATCTCTAAATTCTCCTTCAGCTTTCAAAATAGCTTATCTTGTGTGGGGATAATAATAGTTGTTTTTCAATTTGTTTTTTTCAAGTTATTTTTCAAACAAATAATAACAATAACACTCCCGAGGTTGTTGTGGGGATCAAATGAGATAATAATTGTAAAGTGTTTGGCACAGTGACCCGCACATAATAAGCACTACATAAGTGTTAGCTATTATTATTATTATTATTACTTAACCTCTGTCTGCCTCAGTTTCCTCAGCTAAAAGGGGGATAATAATAGCACCTCCCTCCCCGAGTTGTTCTGAGATAATTATTGTAGAGCGCTTAGGACAGTGCCTGGCACATAGTAGGGGCTTAGCTGCTATTCTTATTATTATGAGCAAGCAGTGCAACACTAGATCATTGATTAAAAGCTGGATTTTTGAGGCCATCTAATCCAGCCTCTTCATTTCATAGATAAGGAAGCTGAAGCTCAGAATACTTAGCTGACTGGTCCAGGGTCACGCAGGTAGTGTGTGGCAGAACTGAGATTGAAATCCCCGTTCTCTGCCTCTAAATCTTTCCATTGCACCATGTGTCCTTGGTAACTAATGCAAGGTAGGAGGGGAAGGGGGCAAACGGGATCTCAAACATAGTAGTAGGGGATAGTTAGAGATTTGGAGCTAATTTGAAGCAGGAGGACCCAGTAACACCTGGGGGTGGAAAGAACGGGGGAGGTTTCAGGTACAGGGTGGCAGCTTAGGTGAGACAGGAAGGAAAAGAATATATTCCAAAAGACTGAGATGAGTCTGATTCATCTGGAAAGCTTCTCCCAGCACAGTCTGGCTCCTCCGACTGGGATGCATTTCCTTCTCAACTTTAAGCGCCCCTCATTCTCCCCAGCTATCACCTCACATTATCCTGTACCACTTTATGTGGCTATTCTCTTGCCCTATTTCTTTACTCCTTACTTTGTGTCGTACTTACCTGTGCACTTGTTAAATTTGCCCCAGTAGAAGACGAGTTCCTGAAAGATAGGAACATCTTGCTTTTATCTTTTTATTCCCAGAATTCTGAACAGTGCTTTGCACATAGTAGGAACCTACTAAATGCTATCATTCTCTGATTCTAAATCTCCCTGCTCTTTCTCCTGGGCAACAAAGGAACCTCCACCCAGCTCTTTGCCATTCCCTCCCTCCCTCCCTTGGGAGAGGAGAGTATCTCTGGAGATTCTAGTAGTGAAGGGGGCAACCTAAGGGTCATGGGATTTTGCCTGTAAAGGACCTTACAAATTCCTTCATTTTACTCATGAAGAAATTGGGTGAATGAAAGGCTCTTGGTCCCCTGTAGGCACACCCCTATGCCCCACCTTAATTCTGAGATTTGAGGAAGGTCCCTATACCCAAGCCTCAGTTTCATAACTGGGTTAAGCCCTAAGGTCTGGGTGAGACAGGAACCAACCAATCCAGTTTCTAATAAAACTGTAAGCTTTTTCAGGACTGAAACAGAAGTCTTACTCATCTCTATGTTTTTCCCCCCAGGATTCCTATGGCATTGCTATGCAGATAGAAAATAGTCAATAAAGGCTGGTTGAACTGAATTAACCCAATTCTCCCTTCACTTTATCCCTCCTCTAATGTAATTCTCTCCATCTTCCAACACACACACACACACACACACACACACACACACACACACACATTATTCTCAGGCTGAACAATACCTTCAGCCTCTGAGAAGTGTCATGAAAAAAATGAGAAGGGTTCCAAATGTTACCTTGAAGGACCTGTCTTGTGCTGAAGGTATGGCAGGTGTAGGCTAAGACAACCTAGGAGTGGGAATGAAAGATCAGCAGTCTGGAAAAGGAGGGGCCCAAGAAATCAAGATGAAATCAAATGAAAGGACAAGCAAGAGCCTTGATTTTGATATATGCATTTCAGAACCGAGCATGTGAGTGTGCCAGCAGCTATATGCTCCGACCTCAACCTCTTAACTTGAATAGGGGTGAGGTGGTTATTTTTTTTTTTATTCTTTTTTATTAAGGGAGTAAACCAGCCAAATCTCTTCCCACTGGAAAAACAAGCCTAACCTGGGACGGGTTTTTTGGTCTTCAGTTTTAAATTATTTAATTTTTTTGTTTTTCCATAGTTGAAATCTACCAGTTCAGGAACATGTGACATGCAAACAGTGGAAAGGTAGACCTTTATAATTGAAAGGGACCTTAAAGATCATCTAACCCAACCTTCTCCTTTTACAGATGAGGAAACTGACCCAGAAAGATAATAGTCACATTGCTAGTTGGGGCAGAGCCAAGCCTAGAATCCAGACCTCCTGACTTCCAATTCTGTGTGTTTTCCATTTCGTTCTGCTGCCATCACTCTGGAAATGTTTTTAAAATGAAAATTATTTGTGTGCTAGGTTCCAACTATATGACATTACTTTTTGGTAATTCTCTGTTTAAATTGTAAAAATCTTTTTTTAAATTAATTTAATGATTTAATAGATCTATGCTTCCTTCAGTATCAACTTGATCTAACATTAATGAAGATGGGGAGCTCTGGATCTTATTCTCAGCAAAATTAGTTTTTCGTTTGAAGTCATGCAGCATAATGGACAGAGAGCTGGGCCTGGAGTCAGAAAGACTTAAGTTCAAATACTGCTCCAGCTTCATGCTGGCTGCGTGACCCTGGGAAAGTCCTTTATTCACTTCCAATATCGAATTTTGTTGTTGTTGTTGTTATTGTTCAGTCGTTTTCAGTTGTGTCCAACTCTTAGTGACCCCATTTAGGGTTTTTTTTGGCAAAGATGCAGGAATGGTTTGCCATTTCCTTCTCCAGCTGATTTTATAGTTGAGGAAACTGAGGCAAATGGGATGATAATAATAGTGCCTACCTTGCAAGGGAAGAGTTCTTATGCGGATCAAATGAGACAGTACATATAAAATGTTCTGCACCCTTCCAGTGCTGTATAATTAGCTCTTATTGTTTGGACAATAAAATTTCTAAAGGGACTTTACAAAGGAACCTACTTGGTGTACGTTGTATTTTTTTAGTTGGATAGTGCCAATTTATTGTTTATAAAATAAATTACACACAAGATCATGTCAGTATCTTAGTAAATCTTAAAAATATCTTTAAACTCAATAAAAAAAATTTAAAATTCTTTATAAAGTTAAAACAATTTTTCACCACTGATATCTTCCTTTTAGAGGACTCCCAGAAAATTAAAATCTTAGAAAGTTTCGTGGGGAAGTGAGAAGTTAAGTGACTTATCCAGAGTCACACGATAAATATGTGGCAAACACAGTACTTGGACCTGGGTCTTCCTGACTCTGAGGCTAGCTGTCTGTCCACTATACCATGCTGTCTCATATGTGTGGATTACACTCCAGTAAAGTCCCTCCAGTGCCTTGTGACATGGAGGGAGCCTTGGATTTTCAGAGAATGTGGCAGTGGAAAATAAGCTCTGGAAAGGCTTAGAGCGTGACCTGGCAACCACCTGTTAGCAGAAAACCATGCTAGGTGAGTCTGGAGAGGTTGATTACCCAAAGGTGGGCCACCAAGGAAATGATTTTGTCACAGTAATTCATGAAACTAGCTAAGGCATGGAGGGTATCGATGTGGGTCAGTCAGCATGATGGCGCTCCCTTACCAGTGAAATCACACATCCCTTTCGGTATAGAACTGTATGCTAAGTATACATACCATTATAAATACATTATTAATTTATTTTTCTTCTGAGTCATTATGGCCACCATCTCTGTGTTATTCAGTTACCACAAATTCAA